GATGAACAACAATTCAGGTGTTTTTCAAGTTGATATTTGATTTTGGTATATTTGAACATTTATGTGAATAGTAACATATATAAATTCCTATCATATAAGGTATCAAGAAACTCGGAGTCATAAAATAGTTGATATTCGGGACGTGATCCGTGGCATTTTAGCACAACACGAGAATCTTTTCAAGGATAAATTTCGGTGCGCCTTTGTCATATTAAATAACTTTGGTTTACTTTCAATTAATTCTTTCCATTTTATTCAATTAAATAGACTTCTAAAACGTTGTCATTTTGATATTTTGCGTATTTTACCATCTTTCGAAATAATATCAGAAGATGTTCCATGGACAAAGGTAATCAGTAAAACCTCGATTTCTTTTCAATCGTAATTATAAATAATGTATTAACAAGAGTTTTCGTGTAGATTCCTGTGGAAAATTTAAGCACAGAATTTTCCGCAACAGTTTATAATATTTTACCCGGCCGGAAATGTCTTACTCGTTCAATGCTACATTTAGTTCAATTGCACCACAATTTACACACGTTGCGACTGCTGGAAGTGCCTATGAAGGTTTCTACCGTTCAATACATACATTTTGTTTTCCTTTGAATTTGACAAGGTTTGACAAATACTACACCTTATATTTTTAAAGAAAAGTGACAACACAAAGACAACATATGAAATAGAATTGCTTTATCAAGCAAATAACCATAAGCCTGGTAATATCTCCGTTACAACTGGGCATGCATCAAGACCGCGATTATTTGAGCCAGATTATTTTAAAGATCGACAGACCGTTGTCAAATGGATTAAGCAAAAACTTTACAGCCTAGGTGAGCTTTGTGATAATATCATTTGACTGTCATTACTTTCCTAATCATTTTATGAAATAAACAGAGGGAACGATTACTCGTTGTTCTCATATGGTTACGCCTATAGACGTAAGTGAAATTTCGGTATATCATGAAAAGTAATACATTATTCTATACTAATATTTATTTATTTATTTATTTTTATTTATTTATTTTAAAAAACAGATATCGGTGCCAACTCGTGTACTGATCACTAGCTTAGCTAAAGGTGTGGGTTTGACTTAAATATCACCGACAAAAAGTATTAAATACTTAAATTCATATATATTATTTCGTTTAGGTGCAATTTATGCTTTAACAGATCCTTCATTATCTGCAAATAGTAATAATCAATCTACGGTTCGAAGTGAAAATTCCCCACCAATAAAGCCGCTTTTTTCACATATCCTGATATTTCGTGAAGGTAAAAGTTAGTGTGAATCCTTTACTTATTTTAATCACATAAGTGTTTTACTTTTATTATTATTATTATTATGCAAAGGTGCATTGTATGTTCATTGCCAACATATCAATCACGGAAAAAATGCCCATCTTCTCGATGTCATCAATTTTGAAGTCCCTCCTCAACTTGTGGTTTCGCCTAAATCAGATGTCTCTATGTATTCTCAGGTATTTATCTCTACATTAATGGCTTTGGAGTTCACTTTTTGTCTAAAATTGACTTTATTTCCTCTTCAAGTTTTTCGAACCTCTTATTATTAAACCGAATTTGGTTAATCGAAGGCCTATAAATAAAACCATCAAGGTATCAGGACATGAAGTTAAAAGTACGCAGACTTTGGATATTGAAACAAGATGGCTTAAAACTGCGTTAAGTTCGAACAATGACATAATACTCAAATTGCAGAGTAGTTTATCTGAAGGGGTGCGTTATTTGATTTATGTAAGATTACTTGTTATTAGATTATGACCAATATTTACTATTTAACGTGTAAATAGACTACACTCGTCCATGATATACTGTCCGAATTAAAAAAACTTCATTGTGTTGAGACACCGCCTGATGATTATACTAAAATCGCAAACAATGTATGTATATAATAAATTTTATCTTTTTTGTTCTCTTTCATGATATTAACATTTCAAATTTGGTCTGTAATAGATACTGGATCGATTATTCGCGCTTGGAAGGGGTTCTGACTCATTTACAAAGTACTATAAATGTTTTTTTTTTCATCGAAGTTAACATTGCATTAAATAAATCAATAAATATATATATATATATATCTTTTTTTTTTTTTTAGTCAAAAAAATGCAGTTGCACTTTTGAAGCAAATCCCTATAATTTCAGAAGCCTTTCAATCCACGTCTCCAGAACACGCTGAGGTTATTATTCATTTATTATGTATATGTGTATAGATGTGAATTTCGATCCTTCCATGAATAACAATGCTGGTCACTACTTAAGTTGCATAGTTATTTAATTATATTTTGTAATTTTTATAGATACATGAGATCATGACTGGACGTGTAAGGCCTGACGGTACGGAGAACAAGCCGCTACCTATACCACAATCATCATCTAATAATAGTGGGCCTATACCATATCTACAGTATCATGTTCCAAGTGTCTTTGGAATCAAAAAGGAACAAGAAAAATATATGAATCGGTTAGGTAAGTCTAATTCGTTACTATACCAATATTGGATCGGAAAAAGGAATGCAAGGGAGTCTAAAGGGATTAAGCGTAAAGATTTCGATGGACAATTACCCAAGATGAAAAGCTAGAACAATGATTAACCTTTATTTGATAAAACACGTCTCACGTGATTAATGTAATTTCAAACTCTAATATTTAACAAACATAATAATAAAATTGAATATTGAGTTTAATTTATTGTCAAAATCGAAATGTCCTAACTTATATCCATGACAACACTGCTGTGGGGTACGTACTACGTGTGGGTTTACTAATTTTCCTAACATAGCGATAGATACTCCGATAAACCAGAAATGGTGGAAGTGGTGGGGAAATTTAACTACCCCAGGATCGCCAACAAAATTACTATGTAATTTTACCGTCACGTGATCATTGACGAAAATAAGCCAATAATGAAAATTCGTTTTGCCAAAAATTGCTTCTAACCCAAAATCTGCATAGGTTTTTCTTGAACGATTTTAGTGTTAGAACCTTCAAAACCTTCAATTATAACACTAAAATAGCCCTAACCCTAATATAAACAAACTTAAAAGAATTTTGTCAAATAATCATATGATGGTAAAATTTTGAAAATATCGATCGATTTATGTCATTTACCAAATTGATTCGGGTTGTACATATGAGCAGTGTTCGAAATTTCAGATTCAAATAGAACAGTACAATAACTCAAAATATTATGTTCGCAACAACAAAAAAAAACCTATATTAGAATATACATTATAGATGAGAACGCTTTTATTGTTTTACTGTTCACAAAAAATTTTTAATAGTGAACAGTAAAAAATTTATACTGTGCGTGTTCTCATGAGAACCCGAACCCTGAGAACACCAATTTCGAACACTGCATATGAGTCACCTTATTTATGAGTCACCTTATTTTACCGTATTGTGACTGAATATATGATGTTATGAGTCACATTATGACTCATAAAGGGATAGATAAAAAAATTTTTTAATCACCTTAAATATAATTGGACCGATATTTTATTAGATTAGATATCGATTTAAATTCAACTAAAAAAGCCCCCGACATAAACAAAAAATGTTTGCTAAAAATTTTTCAGTTTATCGTTCAATTACGAAACAATTTGTTAATTTGCCCGCGAAAAAGCTGGCTGTTAAGGGTTATCGCTCGATACCATGTCCGTTGTTTGCACAGAATCGGCATTATGCTCAATCGGCGTCGCAGGATAAACTGATAATCTTTGATACATCTTTACGCGACGGTGAACAGGTAATTAGTCGAACAAACTATTAAGCAACTTATCACTAATTCCTTTATGCTGACGTGCTTGAAGTTTTATTAATTGTGTTATTAAAAAAAATAAAACTTAGTCACCTGGTGTCACCTTTTCGTCGGACGAGAAACTAGAAATTGCACGACATCTTTCAAATCTTGGAGTTGACGTGATTGAAGCCGGTTTTCCAATTGCTTCACAGGGTGACTTTGATGCGGTTGCACGTATTGCAAAGGAAGTTGGCCCTCTTATGCATGGTCGAGAAAAGATTGGCAAACCTATGGTAAGCAATTTTGATATACTTATAATTGGGAATTCACACAATGTTAATTATTCTCGTATAATGCAACATTAGATCATTGCTGGCCTTTCACGTGCCACTCAAAAAGACATTAAGCGTTGTTATGAAGCTGTATCTTTGGCGCCACTGCATCGAATTCACACTTTCCTGGCTACATCGGATATACACCTTAATTATAAACTAAAGATAGATCGTAATGAATGTATTAAGCGTGCTACTTCAGCAGTTGCATACGCAAAGAGTCTTTGTGATGATGTAGAATTCAGCTCTGAAGATTCTGGAAGAACTGATAAGGATTTCTTGTGTCAAGTCTTGGGAAAAGTTATCGAGGCTGGTGCAACTACTCTAAACATTCCAGATACAGTTGGTTACACTAGCCCTAAAGAATATGGTGCATTAATCAAATATTTAATTGAAAATACGCCTGGAAGTCATAAAGTAATTAATTATCTTTATTATTTATTATTATTATTATTGCTTTTTTTTTTTTTTTTTTTTAAATCACGTATGTGAATGTCTTTTTCTTTTTTTTTTTTATGCTAATTTCAGGTAATCTGGTCTACACATTGTCATAATGATTTGGGTCTTGCTACAGCTAATACGTTGTCTGGAATTACAAATGGTGCTAGACAGGTAGAAGTGACAATCAATGGTATTGGCGAACGTGCTGGTAATGTCACTGCAAATTATTCACGTATTTTTATTCGTAATATGGTGTAGATAGCAGGCACCAATTATCACGTGATAGCATAGACTCATCAACGGAATTTAACTTTAAAATTTCTTTTAGGCAATACATCTCTTGAAGAAGTCGTAATGAACATCCATACTCATCCTTCTTCATACCCAGTGTATCACACCATCAATACCCAACTTATTTACCGTACATCCACTCTAGTATCATCTCTTTCTGGAATGGTGGTACAACCAAATAAGGCAATTGTGGGCGCCAATGCGTTCCTTCATGAATCTGGCATTCATCAAGATGGTGTGCTGAAGAAAAAAGAAACTTATGAAATCATGCGTCCTGAAGACGTTGGCATCTTCAGTACTAATTTGGTGTTGGGTAAACTTTCAGGACGCAATGCTTTTCGCTCCCGCCTTGAACAACTTGGTTATTTTGATATGAATGAAGATGACTTAAATAAAGCCTTTGATCGATTTAAGGCTTTGGCAGATGCTAAAAAGCATGTCACAGATCATGATCTCTTGGCTTTGATAGCTGATCATGTTTCTTCTGGAAGTGAATCTAAATTCGATTTGCAATCAATTCAGGTTATTTCTGGAACTCGTGAGATGGTTACTGCAACTGTCAAACTCAAGGATTCTTCTCAAGAACAAGAGCTCATTGGTGCAGCCGTCGGGCGAAATGGTCCTATAATGGCTGTATTTAGTGCCATTCAACAATTGGTACAACGTAAAATTCGCTTGTTAGATTATGAAGTTCGTTCTGTTTCTGAGGGGATGGATGCTTTAGGAAAAGTTGTCGTAAAAATTACTGAGGATGTTGATTATTCAATTTCCGAAACAGATTCAAATCCGCAAGAACATATTATTGATCGTGCAATTAAACCCATTGTCGATTCAAAAGGAGAAACAAAGTTATCAAAGAGCACATATCACGGACACGGCACAGATGTTGATATAGTAATGGCAAGTGCGAAAGCTTACGTAAATGCAATCAATAGGTTGTTTACAAGCGAACTTAGCGGAATATCTCGGAGTTCCTTGGAAGAAAGACAAGCAAATATATAATAAACTTAAAACTATCTTATCAGTTTATTTACCAAAAAAAAAAAAAGTTTTTTTTCTTTTATAACGTTTTGTAAGAAATATTTTCAAGAAAGAATTTTGTATTTTATTCAAGATTATTAAAAGTAAAATTAATGGTATAATTTTTTTTGAAATTTGAAAAAATTATATAATTTTGAGGAACGGAATTTAAAAGGGGTTAAACAACGGTTATGTTTAGGTTCATGTCAGGTTAGTTAGGTTTACTGTATCGGTATATAAAATAATTCTATAATGCACGACGTTTAAAGATTACATTTGTCTATTACTAAAAATTTAATAAAGGTTTTTTCTTTGTTTGGTGGCTTAAGTTTTATTGTTGAATTTTTATATTTTGATTAGTTATACAATTTTATGCGATTGAACTTTTTATTTCTTAAACTGTCTAGCTAAAAAATTTGCTAGCTAAATTTTTTTAGAGCTTTGCTAAATATCACCAGAAGTGATAATCACCGCTCATATGTATACTAAATTGAAAATTTGAAAATACTTTCAGGGAAATATTAAAGTATTGAAAATATATTATGGAATGAGTACTAGAGTTTAAGTAAGCTCTACAAAGGAACAGGTGATGGTAGCGATATAAATTACTTATCTAGATGGTATATAAGCATAGATAGTTCTGGTAGTAATATATATTTTGAAAATGATCTGTCTATGGAGTATGAAATCCTAATATAATTAAAAAAAAACCAGTGCCTTCTTAACTATGCTTATATAATAAAAATAATTTAGAGATTAAATTGACAATTCACGAATGAAGAATTTGTATTAATAAAAACACATAAGGTCATATAAATTTAATAAATTGGTTCTCATAACCCGGCCGGGTCAAATTTCGCAAAATTCTTAAAAAAAATTTTTGACTATATTTACTATCCGGGTGAAGTTTTTTTTAGAAGTTTATAAAAATTTTTATATGCTTTTTA